AGAGAAAGAGAGAGAGAGAGAGAGAGAGAGAGAGAGCGGCGCGTGAGGTGGTGGGGTGAACTTTCTTTCTCCTTTCGTTCGTTATTTCTTTATTTCTTTCGACCGGCGTTTTCTCGCTGTTCGCCAATGAATGCTTAAGAGGGAGAAAGAGTGACTGCAGAAGAGTAAGCTAAAAGATGGATAGGGAGAGGGAGATATAGCTGGGGTGGTAAAAAACGGAGCAAAGTGGACGAGAGGGGGTGTCAGAGCTACTTTGAATATAAAATTATCTATAATTAATATCCGGTCGCGCAGAACAACGAGCCCAAGAGCAATATTTATTAGATATTTTATGGGGAAAGTTTAAAAAGGTAATCCCCGCTTTTGGTAGTTTCGGTATGAGCTTTCTACCTATCTTTTCTTCCCTTGCTCTCTTTTTCTCTTCTTTTAGGAGCGTAGACAAAGCTCGGATTTTGTACGAAAGGGACGAAAAAGAATGCCGAACGAAAAAAGCTGCATAATTATAGGACGTAGATTTTCAAATTCCCTTTCATGTCTCCTCTTTCGCGATAAAATTGATACTTTCTATTGGCGAAGGCTCGGTTTGTCAGGTTTTTCCTCTTCACCGATACGAGCCCATTGTTTTATTCATCATGCAATTCTTTTTCCCGTGTATTTATTCCATTGTTTGATTCTTTCAGGCGCTTATAGCGAAGGGAATGTGAAAGTTTTATTGGTAATTTCAATTGCAGAGTACTTCGTAAATAAAAAGCATCGATATAGATTATAAAAACTTGTTCACCTCTATTTGTCGCCCTCTTCATAAAGGTCATCGACGTTGAAATACAAGTAAAAAGTGTACATAAAAGCGGTGGATATTTACATACATCTTTCAATCACATAGTGGCCGGGCTTTTAATCTTGTAATACAAATGTCGATTTGGTGGGGACGTTGCCACGTTCTCGTGAAATTGAATAAAAAATTAGCGTGGACCTTCGCGTAAATTAGGAATGAATTAGAATTTTTCCTAAAGGATGCGAAAGCCTCGCGCAATACACGCGGGTAGCTCGCATTACGTAATAATATCTTAAAATATTCCAATATCATGCGCCAATTTTGAAGCTCTTAAAATACAGCGCGAAAAAAGCACGAGCTCTTTCCGTGCCTCACGCCGCGATTTAAAATTGGAAAATTCTTCCCTCGGACTTCTATTTTTTACCTAGGCACGCTCTCTCTCTCTCTCTCTCTCTCTCACTCTCTCTCTCTCTCTCTCTCTCTCTCTCTCTCTCTCGCTCTCGCTCTCGCTCTACTAGCAGGTCCTACGTCTCAAGGCAGAATTGATTGATTTTCTCTCGGCACGGCTCTCCGCCCGCCAATTTCACGAATCGCCCGCGAGGCGGAAAATGTATAGAGTTGTAGCCTCCGCAGATTAAAGGCTGCCGCCGTCCTGGCCGCGCCTCCCTCTTCCCTCGCCATATATCGAGCCACTCGACAATTGTTACGATCGCATAGGTGCGACAATAATACGCGGGCTATCGAGCGGCCGGCAATGAGCCATCGGCCCGCGTGTTTCAAGCTATTTTAGGCCGGGCGCGCGCATTATAGCGTGCCGCCGTTAATATCGCGTGCTTAAAATTTGCTCGGCTATTGGTAAGGAGGGCCGTTTCGTTTGATCTCGGGTGGATTCCAATCGCACTTGGGCTTACGCGACTCCCGGCTAATTTATCGGATCACGGGCCAGCATTATTTTTACATTAGGAATTAGGATTGAGAGGGGCAAGTGGCCGCCAGCGAGGACCTAACCTTACGCCCTGCACTTCTTTTCCAGAGGGCTACATTGGCGGAAAAGGAGCTTTCGGCGTTAAAAGAGAAGCTCGCTGCACATAACGATGGGAATTCCAAGACTGAGGGGCAACTATTGTCCCAGAATGCTCAGAGCGCCGAGCAGACTCAAGACGCCAATAATCCGAGGCGGACGCCCAATAGCAGTCACGAGCAGGAACTGCAGGCCAAGGACAGAGAGGTGGGTATCAATTTAGGCTTAAGCCTTATTCTCGTCCCATTTGTTTCATTCGAGATTAATACTCGCGGCTTTATTGTGCCAGCCGATGGAATGTAACGGCTGGTAATGGGCTAGGAGTCACGATCGGAAATTACGAGGATCGATATTCTCGCAGACATGCCCCTACCACTTAACCTTTATCTCACTTCGTCGCCCATATCTCAATTATAAATCGATATTTTATCAAATGAATGATGAGTTTTTGTATTAATACGCGGAAAAAAGCTTTCAGAATGTGTTGTAAAGTGCGACAAACTAAAATATCAATTCACGCTACGTTAAGTCGCTTGGCTTGATGAATCGCATAAACATTTTAAAATGTCTATTGGATCTTAGCCGCGGTGAAAATTAATATTCAATATAAGATAGGAAAAGTCAATTGCCAGCATTGGAAACGCTTTAGTGAGTCGATTATGTGCCAGCTCTCTCTCTCTCTCTCTCTCTCTCTCTCTCTCTCTCTCTCTGTAAACAGAGATGGGCAGAGTGGGTGAGAGAGAGTGAAAGTGCGTGGGAGAGTGAGGGTGAAAGAGAGAGAGAGAGAGAGAGAGAGAGAGAGAGAGAGAGTGAATACATTATGTAAGCAATGTTAGGGCTTAATCGCGGTGGCACGTGGGACCCCGAGTAAAAGCCGCTCGAGCCCCATTTACATGTGTAATGCTTGTTCGAGACACGCGTGTTTGTACCTACAGTTGGCCAGGCTATAAGTGAGGCAGGAGCCACGTCGCGCAATGAATGACCAATGGCGCGTGAGTCGGATCCTACTTGTACTCCGTCCTTTACCGTCTATCTGTTGTTGACACCCTTTTTTCTTTACTTTTTCTTTTTTTTATCCTTCTCGTCTCATCTATCTAATCCGCTTGAAATAGCGCGACGAGATGGCTGGAGGAGACAAAGCCTTTGACGAATAAGAATTTTGCAGTTAAATAAAAGTTGCGTTTTTTTTCGTGATAACCGCATTTTTACGTATCTAGGATAACCTAAATATATATGTAATAGCTGAGAAATCGTTAGTCTCCTTTATATAAAGAAATGAGAGAAATAATGAGGAAAAAGGCGAAAAGTAAGTTCGACACTTGCGCCACGAGATGTAGTGCGAAATGACGCTTTTTCGCTTAAAGCATCATTCATTAATCTTTAAGCCAAAACCGAACAGTTCTTGGCATCTCTCTCTCTCTCTCTCTCTCTCTCTCTCTCTCTATCTATCTCTATCTCTATCTCTATGCGTGTCTTTTTCCTTCTTTGTATCTTTGACTGTCTCTTTCTCTGACTATCTCTCTCTCTCTCTCGTTCCTCTTTCCCATTCGCGCCCACTTTATATTTAGCAAAAGTCGACATCTCAAAATTTCGGATCTTACGGACCGTTAAAGCCACGGAACGCGTTGTCGTCGACTTTGCAGTCATGCTTGTCTTCGACGCAACCACGTAATTTTTAACTCGCCCACTCTCTCGCAATCAGCAATTGCGAATCAAAACGTACTCGTCTGGCGCATTAGTACGACACTGGTTGTCGCGCGTTATGCTTCTATCGTGGCTACGATAACATTATCGTATATTTATCGGTAGGGTAAATAACCTGCGGGCGCGTGAGCTCTTATGTACGACGAGAGAAGGCAATTTGCCTGCGCGTGCAAAAATAACTCTTCGAGAAGGTAGTGGAATAGTAAAAGAGTCGTAGGGCGGAGGGGGAGGGTGGATGAAACTGCCCGCAGAAACCACGGGGCAGTTACAAAGAAAATGCGAGGGCAGTTATGACGTCGCCTTTACCAATTCAACAGATATTGTTTCGCGCGATCGATAATTCTTGCAAATTCCCCATTAATGTTCCTCGATTTAACTTCTGTATCCTTTTTTTGTAAAATATCGGATGAAGCGTAGAACCGCTTCACTTATATCTCCTCGAAAATAGACTTTCGATATGTACTGATGTATGGAATTTGCCTTCGAGAAATAAAGTAAAAATGACTTTGGGAACTTTGGCCATTGGTCGAGCATTCATAGAAATGTTTATAGCGATTAGTTGGCGCGTCAAATGGCGAGGTCGACAACGATTTCGAGAGCTCTCAAACGAACAAAATCGAAAACACACTCAAAGCATGAAAAAGAAGCTATAAAAAAAATGGGGGCGGGACGCTAAGGGTTTGATAAGTATCCTCTTTAAAACAAATATAACGATCCTGACTGTTCGCCATTTCTTGCTTCCCCAGGTTTTTCCCGCGCTACTTTATTGCTACTCGATGACGAGAAATCGTTTGGCCACTAGAGGCCGGTAATCATCCATCCCCCCCCCCCTTCTTCTCGCCCACCCACAGCTCCGTTCAGCCCACCTCGCATTCCTGTCATTCTATCCTTTCACTTTCGAATTTTCTCTCTGTCAACCCCATGGTTTGGTCGTGGCCATCACAGAGGACAAGGCACGATATTTTCAGCGGACAAGCAATTGCCTCGCGATATAATAAATAATGCCAATATTGGAAAGTGAACGTTGCGCTCTCGAGGTGAAGAAAATAGAGAGCTCAAAGTCGTTAGTTCCCATTGTTCAACGTCGGTAGAGTATCAAAGATATAAAGAAGGATGGAAAAGTTTCCGTTGCTCTCGGCAAATCGCGATGTCTCGTTGAAAGATCGGCGTTGGACGGCTCGGGCAGAGTGGGGCGAGGGGTTGTTGTGACAATGAGGAGCGGCGGTGGCCGGGGAGCGTAACAGGCGCGCGCGCGCCTCGTAGGCTAACGTCATTGTCGCGTCCGATCACATTTTAATTGAGTGTAACAATGAATGCGCCATTACGGACGAATATCTAAAATGTTGTCGATCGTCGCAACAGCTAATTCTCGTGAATAATAGTTCATGCTTACAAGAAAGACGGGATTACAATTGATCAAGTAAAGCCAACTATGAGGCATTTTCTCATCGACGAGCTATTATCTCTTACATATTTTACGCTCGTGCTTAAAAGCAAAAGTACTACATATCATTAAATCTAATTAGAGCAAGAAAAAGAAAATAAAAAAAAATCTACATTTCATTTGCTATTTCAAATTATTGACAAATATATTTTGGCCAATAGGTCTGAATAGTGATAAAAGAGAATCTCTGCATTATTCACGGCTCATTAATTGTTGAGCCACAATACACAGCCAAACAAATATTTCTTTTTAGCTAAAAATTGCGATGTTTAACTCGAAAGTAGACTTTTCATCAAATCTTTTATAAAGAAGCTCTTATTAGCGAAAAGAGAATGTAATTTTAAGGTAAATTAATTTATAAATAAAAATGCTTGGAACGCTGCGAGCCACAATTAAGTAATTGATTGTTAAATAAAACACTGGAGGTTAAGGTAAAATTATATTAAGGTAAAATTATAATAGCATAAATCATTAACGTAAATAATCATCGCTAATTGCCCTACGCTTACGAGATCATTTTTCAAAGTCCAAGAAAGAGGAGGAAAAAGTTGTAGCTGTCGCCATGTCGCGACGTAGACGAGCAGCAAGAAGAAGAAAAGTGCGAATAAATCGAGCGGCGACGCTGGACGAGAGAAATGAAAGCCGGACAATGCCCACTTCTAAGTATCAAAAGGCCGCTTTGAGACACCAAAGTGTGGGTGGCGTCCTATAACTCTAAGATGCTTTCTCTTTCCGTATGCTCATCTCGCTC